TAAAAAATAATAAAATAACTTTATAAATTTCATTCAATTTTACTCAAATTCTTAATTTTTTTAATTTTTTAAATTTCTCCATCCATATTTCTCTTTTTTATCTGTCCTTATATTGTGAAATTATAAAGAGGCAAAGTTTTTATTGAATTAATTAATTAATTTATATTATTATTATTTATTTTTTTCAACTCTGTTATATTTGCTCATATATTTTAAGTTTCTATAGATTTTCTCTTTTAAATTTCTACGAATCATCTAGCATATTCTTTTTTTTTTGTTATATAAGTTATATATCCTGCTTGCCATGATTTTTTATTTTTTGTTATGTGGATTTTTTTTTAATGATTTTAATTTTTAAAAATTAAAAAATTATTGTATATGTAATTCTCAAATATAGGTTCTAGTATTGCATTATTGATTATTGTTTAAAATTTAAGTAATATATTATTTTTATTAATTCTAATTATATAAAAAAATTATTTTAAGTGTATGTTTTTAATGTGCTTTATGTTTTATATTTAGTTGAAAAGAAATTATCTTGAGTATAAGAAGAAATTATTAATTATATATATCGTATTTAACTATTTATATTTTATGCATTATAGTTTAATATTTAGTATTATAAACTTAAATATAATAAAATAAAAATATTGGATGTTGACTACATTAATTTTTTTAGTTGTTTATATTGAGAAAGGTAAAACTTTGAAACAAAATGGATGATAAGTTTCTTACAAATAATTTAGTTGTTTATATTAAAAAGACTATTGCCATTGTCGAATAAAATTTTCCTAGAACATTATTATAAGTTTTTTTCTTTTTACTTTTTTATTTATGTTTTATAAAATTATTATCTATTATAAATCTTTTAATTATTAATAGTTAAGTTTAATATATTAATTTTAAAAATTTTTAATTTTTATTCTTCTTAGCGTTTGGCCTCCCCAATAAAAATGGGCTAGCTCCCCCACTGCTCTTAACCATTGCCTGGCACAAAAAACAATCCTTGATTTTCTGTGCTGAGCCTATTGTTTTCTCCATTTCATTTTTCAAGACTACATCTAAGGCCTTGATTAGTTTTTCATTCTTGGTTAATGAGTACATAAGCTGAAAAATCAAATGGAAATGTGATCACTTTCTTCTAAAAACTGAGTTAGTCTCAATCTTCTTCCATGCTAGTCATCAATACTCTATAATTCGGCATTCATAATTTTTGCTGAAAATTCTTTCTTTAAAAGTTTCAGCATAAAACCAAGTAACAATAACATATAATTCATTATATATATTTTTAAAAATTGTACATCTGTAGCAAAATACTAAACCGGTGACCATGTCTTTATCTAATTTCTGTTTTTAATTTGAATCCTGATAATTTTTAAGGTTAAATATTCCCCTCAGCTAGAGGTATTAGGTGACAATCTATTGGCTTGTGATGTTGCTAAAGCTTTGATGGTATTGCATTTACAACAAAACTCCCTGGTGCACTCCGTCCTCCAAACTGGGAAAAAGAAAAGGTTATTGTTACACCAGCATAAGAAGCAACAATTCCCTTGTTTTCGGAAGGATCAACTCTTGAAGAATGTTCGATTTCGTTGCAAGTTCTAGTCTTTGTGCCTATCATTTCTTGATTAGAATACATTTTCCCTGTGTTTAACTTTCTATGATTGAGGGTCATATTATGCTTAAATTTATATGGTTGATTCAGCTGCGTTAATTCTAGAAAATGAATTATAGGAAGCCTCTAGCTCATTCATTCCTCAAGATATCTTTCCTACAAGGGCAATAAAAAGCTTGGTGATCACTTCTAGTATTCTGTGTCATGAATGGAATGCTTATTCATGTGATTAAGGATCAGGTTAAGTATAGGTTGATCTGTTTTTAATTTTTAGATTAATAAATTTTAAGAAGTTTGTAGCTTACTTTTCTCTTTTTTAAAAAAAGAAAAAGAAAAGAAGTTTGTAGCTTATAAATCAGGTAAATTTCATTGATCTCTAACCTTTTATGTTGATCCTATTTTAATTTTTAACCTCTAAATTCTTCCATTTAAATCTTTAATTTCTTAAAATAATTTTAATTTTATTTTTTCATCAAATTATTCTATTAAAACTAACGTAATAATCACATTATAAAATACATGACACGCTGCATGCCCTTAATATTTCATGTGAACATTTTTAATTTCTTGATTTTTAACAAAATAATATAATGAAAGATCAAAAATGAAATAATTTAAAAATATTGAGAACTAAATTGAAACAATTGAAAAATAAAAAACTAAAGCAGAACTAGAATAAAAGTGTTAGGAAAAAAAGGTGAAATTTACACAGCTTAATCGTTTCAGAATATGACTTTTCTTGGCGGGATTGATCCATGAACCGCACTAACCTTGGAAAGTAGAAGTCTCCATCTATTTTTCCACAGAAATAATTAGAAGGCGGTTTTTCTTTGCTTTTTGACCCTAAGCATTCTTCTGCATTTACTAGGTCTCCCTGCAATCATTACTGTTACAATTAAAATTCCTAGAAATTGAATACTACATTAATCCTTGTTTCCTAGAAGCTTACCAACCATAATGAAGTGCAGGTCCAGTGTAGAAACCATGTTCAGGCTAATTTAATTACTTCCAAGAAGGCAACAAGTTTGACTCCAACATTTACTTCAAGGTCTCCCATGCCACTTCTACAATTTCTGTCAAGCTTCTATCTGGAAATTGCCAAGAAGCAGGAACGAGCAGTCCTCCTCAATCCTAAACCTGACAATGGTTTATAAGTTTTCTTGTCATGTGGCCAAATTGACTTACAAATTCAAGTATTCACTAGTACAAAACCTTTACAAAGGAAGATACAGCTGGATAAATAAAAATAAGAGTTCCAAAACTTGTATATTGCACTTAGTTCTTCTTGATGAACCAGTTTTCAATTGCCTTATTCTAATAGTTTGTACTTGAATATAAATTCTTTTGTTATCATCCCTGTGTCAAAATGTTGTATAGAATTATGCCCTCAGTACTTTTTTGAGTATTTGATATCAAATCTTTGTTCATGCCCAATTTGGCACTCTTTAAGGATAAAAACCAATTGTCAACATATATCTTAGTTTCTTATTGGATTTATCAAATTATGTTACCAATTTAATCTCTGGCAGCCATTTCTCTTTTATCTGTGAATAATTGAATTCTTTATTCATCCAAAGGAGAAGAGAAAGAAGAAGAAAATACATGCAAAAGGAAGGAATCTGCTAAGATTTGCAAGCAAGGGTTAGAACAGGGCATATCAAGAAGCAATAAAAGAGCTAGTTCTAATCATATAAGCACATAAAGCCACGGAGACTGTAAACATTTATTTCAACAGTAATGAAACGAGATAATATTTTCCATCTGCTAGTTTGAAGAAAGAAGCAAGGCTACTGATTGCATCATATATTTTTACTTGGTTATGCCTTGGCAGCATCATATTTTTGTACTGTTAGCTGGTGGTCCCGACTCCAGACAAGAACTATCTTTGTACTGAAGCTTAGCAAGGGTCTTTAATTTATAGAATTTATCAATTGGTCTTCCATTGTCGTGTAGGATTATTTCTAGAATACATTAATGTTGCACTTTCCAATACCCATGTCAAATTACTTCTGATACTTGCCAATCCTAGTATGTGAGGATTCTTTTGTTTCGTTTGAAAGCTGTACAACTTGTTATGTCTCTTTAAGAGACTTTATCAATAAATTTACTTTTCAAAACAAAAAAAAAAAAAAAGAAAGAGGTGCTACAATTGTTTTACATCTACAATGTAGTAATAACATTTTTGTCAAAATTTTTCATCCTTCCCCAAATTCTGAACCATGATATGTCCTTATGTTAGTGCAATTTTAATGTATCCTGAACTTTCTGAAGGTTGAATTATTTCCTTCAGCTGCAGCTACTTGTTGATGGCTTGTAATGGTGCAGCTTGTTTTGTCAATGATTCCGCATAAGGGGCAACCATTCCCTTGCTTTGTCAATGATCAAATTTATAAGAATGTTGGATTTATTTTCAGGTTCTACCCTTTGTCTACATTTCATGACTAAAATTCCACCTCTATTTCTTAACGTTCCATGATCAAAACAAATTTTCTCGGGCTTAAGGTTCTCCGACTGAGGATGTGGTTATGTCTAAATAGATCTGGTTAGGGTCAACTACGTTTAATTCCAGACAAATAAATCTTAAGAAGCTTCTGTCTTATTCACTGCTCGGGAGTGGTTTTCCTTTAAAACTTTCTTTTTCAATTTCCACAAAGAAATTACTAGGCAACTTACATTGTAATTAAGTGGGCCGGGAACCATAAACAATAGTCCTACAACTTCAGTCGACTTGAAATTGCCTGGAATTAATGCAAAGAGCAATGACCAACATGCCTCAATCCTAGCTCAACCTGACAAGAACTCTGGACACATGACTAAGTCAAGTATTTAGCATGTCTAGAACTTCACTGACCAGAGGAGATAAAACCAGACAAATAAGAGTCCCAAAAGTCCTACATTGCACTTAATTCTTGTTGATGAACCAAGCACTCTCAACTCAAGTATAAACTAACCTCAGTTCAAAAAGTTGTCTGGCTTGATGATGAAGCTATCAAGAAAGCATTTGAAGCTGTCCAGCTCTCTTTTCCTTGTTTACCTTGCCGTTATTCTTCTCACCTTCCTTTACCTGCAAGGTCCTAACTTCCTTGGTTCAGCAACCCCTGTAGTTTCTGAAAATGAGACAGATAAACGAGCTTTACTTGAGTTCAAGGCAAAGATAATTGATGATCATTTTGGGGTTATGCACTCCTGGAACAATTCTATCCCCTTCTGCCAATGGTATGGTGTTACATGCGGTCACAAACATCAGCGAGTCACCAAGTTGGACTTGAGATCCCTAAGGCTCGTGGGGTCTATATCACCATTCATCGGCAATTTGAGCTTTCTTAGGGTGTTAAACCTTCTAAACAATAGTTTCCATCAAGCAATTCCCCAAGAAATTGGTCGTTTGCGAAGATTGCGTGTATTGGAACTGCAAAACAACAGCCTAAGTGGTGTAATTCCTTCCAATCTGTCTAGTTGTTCTCAGCTTGCATCAATTTTTCTTGGAAACAACCTGCTAACGGGAGAGATTCCAGGTATGCTTGGTCACTTGTCAAACCTGATAGAATTTGGTTTTAGCAGAAATAATTTAACAGGGGGTATCCCGCCTTCCGTGGGTAACTTATCTTCTCTAGAGTTGATTTATCTTGCTAACAATGGATTGAGTGGGGTTATACCTGAAGCCCTTGGCAAATTGAAAAATCTTGTAGCTCTCGTTGTGAGTGCAAATGAAATTTCTGGTGTCATCCCTCCCTCAATTTTCAATCTCTCCAATATTTTAGTTCTTCATATGAACACAAACCAGATACAAGGCAGTCTTCCATTGGACCTAGGAATCACTATGTCACGTATTGCAACTCTTGCTGTTGCGGATAATCAATTTACTGGACCAATCCCGGTTTCACTATCCAATGCCTCAAACCTTGTAGAATTTAATGTTGCGGAAAATAAACTTAGTGGATCCTTGCCTTCATTTGAAAAGCTTGATAAACTATCACGATTTGTTATCGGTGTCAACCTTCTTGGAAGTATGAAATCAACTGACCTGAACTTTCTCTGCACTTTAAACAACGCTTCCAGACTAAGGTTCCTATTGATAGGTGAAAACAACTTTGGAGGGGAATTACCGGATTGCATAAGCAATTTATCTAGCAATCTCGTAACTTTTAATATTCAAGACAATAGAATATTGGGAAGAATTCCAGCTGGGATTGGAAATCTCATCAACTTGGAGTTGCTAGCAGTATCAGACAACCTATTATCAGGTTCTATTCCCCTCGACATTGGGAGGCTTCAAAAGCTAAGGGCATTTTATGCACCTAGAAACTCTCTCTCTGGGTCCATTCCCCCCTCTTTTGGAAATTTGACAATGTTAATAACACTTGGTTTAGAAGATAACAATCTTCGTGGCAACATTCCTCCAAGTCTAGGTAATTGCGAAAATTTGGTTGAATTGGATCTTTCTGGTAACAACCTAAGCGGTTCTATACCCCCCGAGGTAGTTGGGCTCTCTTCTTTGTCCATTGTTCTAGATTTATCTGCAAACTACCTAACTGGTGTGCTTCCCGTTGAAGTAAAGAATCTAAAAAATCTAGGTGGATTGTCTGTGTCTCAAAACAGGTTATCAGGCGTGCTTCCAAACACCTTTGGTAGTTGTGTAAGACTGGAGAGACTGTTCTTGTATGGCAATTTTTTCCAAGGTCCCATTCCTTCATCTTTGAGTTCATTGAGAGGTCTTATAGAATTAGATATATCTACCAACAATCTTTCAGGTCAGATTCCAGAATTTCTTGTAAACTTTGGGTCATTACAGTATTTAAATCTTTCTTTCAATGATTTCGAGGGTATGGTACCAATTGAAGGAGTCTTTAAAAATGCAAGCGCTACATTCGTTGAGGGAAACAGTAAGCTCTGTGGAGGCACCCCTGAGTTACACTTGCCCAAATGTAACTTGGAAACATCCAACAGAAGATCGAACAATTCTCTTAAATTAAAAATTGCAATTGTTTTTGCAATTTTAGGAGTGACTTTGGTATTCTCATTTCTTCTCACTTGGTGCTTTAGAAAGAAAAAGGAAGAGCCAATAACAACTTGTGCAGAAAAACCACTCCTAAACTTATCATACCGAAGCCTCCTCGAGGCTACTGATGGATTCTCCTCAGCGAATTTGGTTGGTTCAGGTAGCTTTGGTTCTGTATACAAAGGAATTCTTAAAGAGAGTGGAGTAGTTATTGCCGTTAAGGTGCTTAATCTCCTATGTCGTGGAGCTTCTAGAAGTTTCATGGCTGAATGTGAGACGTTGAAGAATATTAGACATCGGAATCTTGTCAAGGTCTTAACAGCAATTTCAAGCATTGATTACCAAGGGAATAATTTTAAAGCATTGATTTATGAGTTCATGAAAAATGGAAGCTTGGAAGATTGGCTACATCCATCTATTGGCATGAATGAGGCAAATGAGGCAACAGAAAAATTAAATTTTTTTCAGAGATTGAATGTGGCCGTTGATGTTGGTTGTGCATTAGAGTATCTTCATCATTATTGTGAAACACCAATTGTTCACTGTGACCTCAAACCAAGCAATATTCTACTTGATGATGATATGGTTGGCCATGTGGGAGACTTTGGGCTAGCAAAATTTATTACACCAGACAGGCAACATAAATCTTCAAGCCTGTCAAGCTCCTTGGGGTTAAGAGGAACAATTGGTTATGCTCCACCAGGTAAGTAGACTACTCTACATTTTCTACCATATCTAAAATCATAGATTAAATTTCAAGTGTATCCGTAGTTTTCATTCAACATGATAAAAGTAGAATGAATTCTTTCAAAGTCAATATGTTATTTAATTTAACATATTAAGAGGTTTGTTGTGAGAAAGATATTTGCATATGCTTCAAAATTGTTGCTCATATTTGCAATAAAATTGAATTGCAGAATATGGCTTAGGAAGTATGGTGACAACATACGGTGATGTGTACAGCTACGGTATTCTTTTGCTGGAGATGTTTACTGGAAAAAAGCCTACTGACAAAATGTTTAACGAGAACTTGAACCTTCATAACTTTGTTAAAACAGCTTTGCAAAATCAAGTGGTTGCGGTTACAGATACCGTTCTTCGTCAAGAAAGTTTTCAAGGACAAAATATGACCAACAATACTCGCAACCAAGGAGATAACAAACTTCTTCAATGCCTAAATTCAATATTTGAAATAGGAGTTGCGTGCTCTGTTGATTTGCCTACTGAACGAATGAATATGACTGATGTTGTTGCCAAGCTTTCTTCTATGAGAGACCAGCTGCTTTGTGATACTAGGTGATAGTCTACTGCAGATAAATATTTCCTTCAACTGCAGATACTAGGTGATAGTCTACTGGCTTTGTGATGTTGTTGCAATTTTCATTGGTATGGCATTTACAACAAAACCCCCTGGCGGACTCTTATTCCAAACTAGGAAGGATCAACTCTAGAAGAATGTTGGATTTCGTTTCAAGTTCAAGTGTTCGTGCTTGTCATTTTTTGAATAAAATGCTTTTTCTTGTGTTTAACTTCTGTGATTGAGGATTATGTTATGTTTAAATTTATATTGGTAGATTCAACTCTGTAAATTCTGGAAAATTAATAATAGAAAGCCTTTAGCTTAGTCTTTGCTCGAGATGACTTCCCTTTAAAGGGATTAATAAGTTGGATGATAACTTCTAGTCTTGTGTGTCTATCGTTTCTTGAATAAAATTTCAATTCTAATATTTAATTGTTTCATAATAATGAAATGGAATACTTATTTATGTGATTAAGGACGAGGTTAAGGTAGGTTGATCTACTTTTAAGTTTTAGATTAATAAATTTTAAGAAGCTTCTAGCTTAATTGGGTAAGTTTCATTTAGGATCTCTAACTTTTTATTTTGATCCTAATTTAATTGTTAACCTCTAAACTGTTCCATATGATTCTAGTCTAATCTTTTAAAATATTTTTATTTTTATTTTTTCATCTAAATGTTCTATTAAAAGTAATGTAATTGCCACGATATAAATTACATGTAATTTGTAACATGACATTATAAATTACAAGGTTAAAGATTTAATCCATCATTATTGACTTCAAAACCATTACATATATATAAATTGCTTTCAAAAAAATTATAAATTGTTGGATAGTTTGTAATTGAGAGTCTCACATTTGAAGATAATTATTAAAGATATGACTGTTTAGATTAAAACATAACTTTTTAAATAAAATAAGTATTTTGAACAAACACAACTATTGAAAGTTGTTTAATAGATACATCTATCGAAACATAGCAGATATATCTGTAAAAATAATACAGACACATTTGTAAAAAGATAATTGACATAACCTTTTAGTGTTATAAAAAGAACATAATTCCAAACCAGACTTGATTCATTCAAAAAGTATTTTACACTAGGCTTGTTGTTTTCTAAAGAGTCCTTACTTGCAAATCCCCATAGTGGCAATAACTCTTTAAAGAAAGTGTGTTACAACATGTCTTAAGCCTTTCTCCTCTTTTCTTAAACTATTTTTCTAACAATTTTAAAGAGTTGTTCCAAATGGAATCTAATCCAAATTCAAGATTTCAACTTGTGAATCAAGAATTCATCACTGTTGACTAGTTTGATGGAACCAATTTCACCCACTGGAGGGATAAGATGGTGTTTTTGCTTATAGCCTTAAGGTGGCGTTTGGTATCAGGGAAGCGAGAGCACATTCCCT